TAGAGTGGTCGACGCTGTCTAAGGCAGCAGAGAGGTCAACAAGGATGAGGAGGCAGAGGGAGCCCTGGTCGCAGATGAACAGAATATCATTTGTCACTTGACCAGGTCTGTTCCTGTGCTGTGGGCGGCACGGAAACCCGATTGGAGGGGTTCGAGAAGGGAGTGGTAGGAGAGGAAAGAGCGAAGCAACGACTCGTTCCAGGACCTGGGAGAGGAAAGGGAGGTTGGAGATGGGGCGGTAGCTTGAGAGTAGAGATGGGTCCAGGAAGGGTTTTTTTAAGGGTAGGAGTGATGACGGTGTTTTTTAATAGGGTGGGAACTGTACCAGTGGACAGGGAGAGGTTTACAATGTCTGTGAGAAGAGGGCAAGGAGGTGGAGCTAGCGTGGAGTCCGATACCCCAAACGGCATCCAGATCTAACGCGGGGACTGTGCCGCGCGGAGCTAACGTGGCATTTGCTGCCTTGGCCATCGCTGACTCTCCTGGTGAACATCCAACCAGAGATCGGCTGCTGCGTGACGTCACATCCACTCAACAGCTTTGAATTTTTCAGCCTAGACTCACTGGGACTATAACACTGTCCCCCTCTCCCCATGATGACCCACACCAGCGGGCTAACTGCCGTGGTGGCAGGGTAGCTCTCACTCCCGGTCCCCCCTCGGCCTATCCCCATACTCCACTGGAACCTTCCCCTGCTTTGAGCACTTTATCCTTTATCACCCCTCCAACTTTTCCCTCAAAATTCTCCTTATCTATTGTCCTCTCAGCCACCTTCCTCCCCGACATCTCCACCTGCCTATCTTCTCTCTCCCTCTGCGCCGAACGCCTCCTCATTCAAGGCGACTTCAACCTTTACTTCACCCCTCCTGCTTTACCTCTGCTGACTTCTCCTCCCTTATTTCCTCCCTCAACCTCTCCCTCCAAATCCACTTCACTCCCTCAATCTGGTGATCACTCAGGGCCTCACCGTCTCGGACCTCACCATCATTGACAAAGCGATCTTGGACCATCACTTCATCTCCCTTAACTCCTCAATCCCTCTCCCCACTGCCACCCAACCCACCTTCATCTCATACAACCCCTGGAAAAAAATCTCCCCACTTCCCTCTCGGCTGCCTTAAGAGTCATTTAAACTCCTTCCCTTCTGGCTTCCTCCCTCAATTACCTATTCTACTCGGTCACTCTTCTCCACAGCTCCCTTTCCTCCACTCTCGATTCCCTCGCTCCCCTCTTTTCCCGAACCATTTCCTATTCACGTAAATCACTATGGTACACCAACCATCTCCGCTCCCTTGAAGCACAGTTGTGTGGAACTTAACGGTCCATCGGCAGATTTGGCTGGAGCTTAACAAATCCTACCACTCTGCTCTCCCCTACGCTTGGAGGCCAAGAACAACCCTAGGCTCCTCTTCTCCATCACCAACCGGCTCCTCCACCCACCCTCTCATGTCTCACCCATCCTCACCTCCAATGCCAACTGCAAGGTGATGCTGGAGTTCCTCGAATCCAAAGTCGAGGGGATCCGCTCAGCTGCCTCTGCCATTCCGTCTACTATACCACCCCATCTCCCCTCCACCCGGCCCTACCCATCCATCCTTCCACGCCTCTCTCACCATCATGATAACTCGCATGAAACTGACCACCTGCTCCCTCGACCCATTCCGACTCCACCACCAGCAAAGGTGGAGCAAATCACCCTACATTTATACACACGTATGCAAGGCAAATTTGTCTTCCAATGCGAATATAGAACACACCTATGTCAGGAGGATATCGCAAAACATTTCACAAGATTTATTGTAAAGTGTAGTGTGTATGTTTTGTAGGCAAACATGGTAGCCAATTTGTACACAGCAATGTCCACAAATAGCCAGGAAGCAAGTGACTGATTGTATCTAGGATTGCTGGTGAGGACACCGCGAGAAACCTCGAAAAATGCAGGGCTCCCACAGCACTACATTGGAGTGTCAGTCTAGACTATGTGGCGCTTGAACCCAGCACCTCTGACTCAGAGGCAACCAATTGCTATCAATTGATCCAGGGTGACAATGTTGACTAGCAGGCACAGATGACACCGACAGGGTTGTATACACAATACCTAAAACATCTGGTCACTTTCAATATATAGTACTATCTGTAATGAACTCTGTTCACCCACAGTTGTATCTAACTGGGAAAGACTTGGCACTTCCTCATCGTTTGCCCCATCTAAAAACTGGGAGCTTCTCCCAATCAGGGACAATTACACAATTATGATACCAGGAATGGGAACCTTAGCTATGAGGACAGGCTGGAGAAGTTAGGACTTTTCCCATTAGAGCAGAGAAGGTTACGCGGGGACTGATAGAGGTGTTCAAGATCATGAAAGATTTCGACAGGCGAGATAGGGAAAAGCTGTTTCCGCTGGTAGGTGTGTCTGTGACTCGTGTCACAGTCTTAAGATATCTACCAAAAGAAGCAGAGGGGAGGTTAGAAGAAATGTTTTCACTCAGCGAGTTGTTCCAATTTGGAATGATCTGCCTGAAAGGGCAGTGAAGTCCGATTCGATAACAGCTTTTAAGAGAGAACTGGACAGGTATCTGGGGAAGATGGTTTGCAGGGTTATGGGGAGAAAGCTGGTGATTGGGGTTAGTGAAAGTGATTTGCTCTGTCAAAGAGCCGGCACTGACTCGATGGGCTGAATGGTCTCCTTCTGTGCCGTAATATTCTATGATTGATCTAGAAGGAACGCATTGCTTGAAAGTGTGGTCGAGGCCGATTCGATAACAACTTTTAAAAACCCGGTGGACGGGTATTTGAGGACGACGGGTTTGCAGGTTATGGGAAAGGGCTGACATTAATTGCTCTATTCAAAGAGCTGGCACACTTGATGGGCCGAAGGGCTCTTTTTGTGCTGTACGATTCTATGATTCTAAGGCACTCCCGTGTTCTAAATCCTTTACAATGTTCTGAGTAAGTGAGGAGCAGAAATTCCAACAGCTTCAGACTCTTTGAGATGTCTAGGAGGATTATTATTATTAACATACTCATGAACATCCAAGTACACATGCATACTATTGTACAAATATGCACAAATACAGATGTAAGATCACTTGCTCTTGCGCACACGCACACACAAATGAAAGGTTTGACACAAGTCTCTCTACAGTATCTCAGGGCAGCTTTACAGAGCAAGGGGGATGATGGACAACCAATCACTTTGTTTCATCAATAAGCTCAGGCTAATGCCTTCATGAAGTTTATGAGCAGTTCATTGACAATCCATAGTCTCCATATCTCGCTCACATCTGGTGGAAGGGTCCGTGCAGCTACCTCCAGTCCAAATTGAGCTTGGTTGTCTTGTCTACGATCAGCTGCAGGGACTTAAGATCCTGGGCAGAGCCTGATTCAGGATCCACAAATTCCTTCTGGTTCAGCAGCTTAGGTTGCATTATCAGCCAGTTCCTGTTGTTCTCATTCTTCTTGCCCTCTTTTTCAGGATGTTTACATTCCTGGGCTTCACATTCTATGAGTTTCACAGGATAATTAAACGGCCTTTTTCATGGGCCTGGCCAATCAGATCCCCACAGCTTTGGGTCCACAGGACACCTGTCTTGTATGTGAACCCAATTTATACTTTATAATGGGATTTCCCTATATTACCTGCACGCTACCGCCTCATCTGCTGAGGTTCCTTCTTCCAACTATCGTGTCATTTGTTAGCCTAGGATGATTTACCACTGACCACAAGCAATTGATTGATGAAACTAGTTGTCTTGTCTACAGTAACAGGAAACAGAAATCTGTGGCTTTTCCATTCTCATCAGGAGACGTTAATAGAAATGAAAAAGGATATAGAGTGAGAGGCAATAACCAAAGAAATGTCAGTGATAATCGTGTCACAAGGAAGGAGTTGATTGATGTTGTGGCCAACACTGATAATGGATAAACTGGAACAGTTGATACCTGGCTGATATCAGAGAAGACATTCTTTTTATAACTGCTGCACTGAGGTACGAGATCCCCTAGCTACACAACTTATTGCTGATAGAAGGTTACACAGAAACAGTTGGGTCTATCAATAACTTTAATTGACATCATTTCATGATCAGCCAACAAGAGGCACAATCATAGCAAGGCTGGGTGAACTTGATCAACACGCATCCCTGCCGATTACTCCTGTCAGTTTAAAGTATATTCCAGACTTAATCAAGTGTTTTTACATTCTAATGTTGGCGAGTAGCACAATCTATACCTTGCAATTACGATTGGATAGCAACATTCTCTCTCTGTAGAAATACAATAACACATAGAATAATGTCATAACATCGCAGCATCACTGGAGCAATCCATTAAGTATGTTATTCATTTGGTAGTTGAAACTTTGAGTGCACTGCAATCATTTAGTAGGAATTATGTTATGAAGAACTGAAAGCATCCACTGTCGAAATTCCAATTGAGTCTCAATTGAATTGCTCTGCATTTAGAAAGTGAATTAGTGAATTTAAGAGCCAAATTCTTCCCAACATCCCAAAGGAGTTAAGGTTCAGACTCAACTTAGTAAACAAATATGCAGTATATGCAATATACATTAAAAGGGCCGCCTGCCTTTCCGTCACAGCACACTGAAAACCCAGAAGCATTACATCTTTGTGCCCCAACTGCTTTAGGAATTCAGTAATTTGCGTTGAAACTGATATAACTGTACTGCTAAGGCAAAGCACTCTGATCAGCACTTTTTAATTTCTTAATTGTTAAATCTGATCTATCAGTAACTATGGATTGACAGCAGCAGCAGTTTCTCCATCTTTGTTTTATTGGTCTTATCAATCTGTATTGAAATGTGTGAATTGCTCATTATTTAGTGCAAAGGGAGCACAGCAAAGTATTTAGAGTTCATTGCGAAAGCTTTGAGAATACACCAATCCGCACACCAGTCATGCAGTTAGACATTGCGAAGTTAGCAGCTTTCAGATCAGCAAAGCCTTCATTAATATAGGGGTTTCAGGAATTGGTCCTACCTGTTACGTTGACCTCAACGAGACCCGATCTTGTGCCGATCGCATTGGTAGCTTCACAGACATAAGTCCCCGCAAGGTCATAGGTCACAGTCCCTTTGAAGAACAGGGTGTTTGTTCTGTATTTCCACATTTTCAGGCAATGACCCATTTAACCTATAAAACAAATAGGATTGTATTTTTAGCAAAGATGAGACATCATAGACCATTAGAACATAGGTTTTCACTTGCAGGTGCTGCTTTCAAACAGACATGGTTCAAATGGTCTGGTAGTGCACTGCCTCGCAAGCGAGAGACCTGGATTTGATTCCTGCAGAGCGAAATGTGGGCAAGTTTCCTTACTCCACACATAGATTCATAGAATATTACAGCATAGAAGGAGGTCATTCGGCCCATCGAGTCTGTCCCAGCTCTTTGACAGAGCGTCACTTTCACTAACCCCAATCACCAGCTTTCTCCCATAACTCTGCAAACCCGTCTTCCCCAGATACTATCCAGTTCTCTCTTAAAAGCTGTTATTGAATCGGACTTCACTGCCCTTTCTGGCAGATCATTCCAAATTCCAATAACTCGCTGAGTGAAAACATTTCTTCTCACCTCCCCTCTGCTTCTTTTGGTAGATATCTTAAGACTGTGACCACGGGTCACAGACACACCTACCAACGGAAACAGCTTTTCCCTATCTCGCCTGTCGAAACCTTTCATGATCTTGAAGACCTCTATCAGGTCCCCGCGTAACCTTTTCTGCTCTAATGGGAAAAGTCCTAACTTCTCCACTGTCCTCATAGCTAAGGTTTCCCATTCCTGGTATCATTCTCATGAATCTCCTCTGCACCCTTTCCAGTGCCTTAATGTCCTTCCTGAAATATGGTGCCCAGAACTGGACGCAGACTTGCCTTTAACAAATCCATGTTGGGTCTCTAATTACTTGTGTTCCTCTAAGTAGAGATTTATTTTGTCCCGGATTACGGTCTCCAGTAGCTTTCCTACCGAAGTTAGGCTGACTGGCCTGTAATTTCCGGGTTTGTCTTTCTGCCCCTTTTTGTAGAGGGGGTAACATTAGCCACTCTCCAGTCTCTTGGCACCACTCCTGTGTCCAATGAAGATTGAAATATAATGGCCAAAGCCTCCGCTATTTGAACCCGTATCTCCCACAGCAACCTTGGGTGAAACCCATCTGGTCCTGGTGACTTATCAATTTTGAGCCCAGTCAATCTTTTCAGAACTTCCTCTCTGTCTATAGTAATCTGATCTATTTCCTCTACCCTCTCATCCAATACTGCGGCATTTGGGGCATCCATTTCCGTTGTGAAGACAGATGCAAAGTACTCGTTCAGTACATCAGCCACCCTCTGCCTCCACAACAAGATTGCCGTCATTGTCTTTGATTGGCCCCACCCTACCTTTAACTAACCTTTTTTCCTTTATGTGCTTGTAAAATATTTTAGGATTCCCCTTTATGTTACCCGCTAACCTCTTCTCATGCGATCTTTTAGCCTGTCTTATCACTCTTTTAAGATCACTCCTGCATTCTCTATAATGCGCTTTGCTATCCTCAGTATCTTGCGTCTTCCAATTGTCGTACGCCGTCTTCTTCTTTTTCATCCTAGACAGAATATCCCTGGTCATCCAGGCTGGCTTGGTTGTCGCACATTTCCCTTTTGTGGGAATATATCTATTTAGACCTTGAGCTATCATATCTTTGAAGATCTCCCATTGCTCATGAGTCGTTTTACCTGCTAGTCTTACTTGCCAGTCCACCAACTCTAGGTCCCTTTTTAGCCCATCAAAATTAGCCCTTTTCCAGTCAAGCATTTTCACCCTTGACTGTACTTTGTCCCTGTTCATGAGTAATCTAAATCTAATAATATTATGGTCACTGTTACCTAGATGCTCCCCTACCGAAACCTGTTCAACCTGACCTATTTCATTCCCCAGGACTAGATCCAGCAATGCTTCCTTCCTCGTAGGACTGGAGACATACTGCTCAAGAAAATTTTCCTGTACACAGTTATGAATCTTTCTCCTGCCTTGCCCTTACGCTGCTATTTTGCCAGTCTATATTGGGATAATTGAAATCCCCCATTATCACAACTCTGTTCGCCTACATCTGTCCGATCTGGTTGCAGATCTGCTCCTCTATCTCCTTCCCGCTGTCTGTGGTCTATAGTAATCCCCTCTCTGTGTAACCACTCCTTTCTTATTTCTTATCTCTAACCCGATGGATTCAATTGTCGAGCCCTGCAGAGCCTCGTTCCTGTCTACAGCTATAATTGTATCCTTAAGTAATATTGCCAACCCTCCTCCTATTCTTCCTTCTTTATCCTTCCTCAACACATTATATCCTGGAATATTTAACTCCCATTCCTGTCCTGGCTTGAGCCATGTCTCGCTTATTGCCAGCACATCGTAACACCCTACAGCCAGTTGAACCTGCAGCTCCTAAGCCTGGTGCCTTAAGCTACGTGCATTTAGGTTCATGCATTTGAGGAAATAGTCCGCTTCTACCTGTTCTACACTTCCTACTTGTCTTTTTCCTCTAATCTCTAATCCATTGTTTATCCTTGGATACCCATCCCCCCTCGCCACTAGTTTAAATCCGCCCATTTCTGTTTACCTAGCAGTAATAATAATAATCCTTGCATTTGATATAGCGCTTTTCACGTCTTCTAGACGTCCCGAAGCGCTTCACAGAATATACTGTAAAGTGAATTGACTGTATATTTGTGAGCGAACGCGGCAGCCAATTGCGCACAGCAATGTCCCACAAACAGTCGTGGATTGAAAATGACCAATTTATTGTCTTGTTTTTTTGGAGGGATTATTATTAGGCTCTGTGTGGAGTAAGGAAACTTGCCCAAGGTTTCGCCCTCTGCCTGGAATTGAACTCAGGTCTCTCGCTTGCAAAGCGAGTGCTCTAACCACTGAGCTACAGGACTCCACGTAAGTAGGAACCCGGTTGTTGGTTGAATGGCGGGGTTCCTTTTCTGGGAGTAATAATTACTTCCTTCAAAAAAATTGGTCACTTCAATCCATGACTGTTTGTGGGACACTACTGTGTGCGCAATTGGCTGCCGCGTTTCGCCTACAAAATAATATTAATAATTGTACATGAAGGGAAAAGAGGTTGAGGCCTATGAGGACAGCATCCAATTACAGAAATGTTCAAGTGATAGAGAATATTCACTCCATCACAGTATAACTACAACATATAAATGGAAGCAGGAGGATGGGAAATACGGGTAAGAGCATAGTTGAATTGGCAATTTAATTAATGGTTAATATCAATAGATTGTCTCATCTATTGTTGGATTAGTTGCTGTAGTGAAAATGGCATGGAAGGTAGCATTACCTGGACACTATTAGTATATTCAAAAGTTTGCCAGAAACAACCATTTGGAAACAATTTAGGCTCACCAGGAACAGGTTCAAACGGTTAACCGCAAGTATATCCAATGTACCACGTGTGTTATCTTCCCAGCTCACACTGAATCCATGTCGACTTGGGACCCAATAAATTCTCAGAATTCACAATATGAGGAGCTAGGGAACAGATAAAACTTTCCTGCTCCTGTCCCAGACATAATCCATCCGTTAATCACAATTCCTGGCAAATCAGTTTTATTAAGACACTCAAAATACTGGATATTGTTAAACACTGATTGTCCAATGCCTTGGACGTCCTCCTGACATGAAAGGCACTATATAAATGTAATTTTTGTTGTTGTTTTTACCTGAAGGTTAAAGCATTTTTCCTTTAACACTGTCATATTCTTTGTTTTGGAAGTAACTAAATTGGAGAGAGTTTGTTGCTGATTATGGAGTCCTGTAGCTCAGTGGTTAGAGCACTCGCCTTGCAAGCGAGAGACCTGAGATCAATTCCTGGCAGAGGGCGAAACCTTGGGCAAGTTTCCTTACTCCACACAGAGCCTAATAATAATCCCTCCAAAACCAAAAACAATAATAAATTGGTTATTTTCAATCGACTACTGTTTGTGGGACACTGCTGTGCGCAATTGGCTGCCGCGTTTTGAACTTATATAGCAACTTTACATAGGAAAATATCTCAAAGCAATTTACAGAGACTGTGTAGATCAACATACAAGGGTGGGAAGGAAGAGGACGTAGGCTGAGATAGATGCCTAAAAGCAGTCAAAGAGGCAAGTTGTAAAGGCGTTTTGAAAGCAGTGGAAAGGGTGCAAAGATTTTGGGAGGGGATATGGTGGTTGAAGCTCAGCCACTGGAAATGGGGTGTTGGTGAGAAGGTAGGGGATGTGCAGCAGGCCTGAATTTGCACAATAGGAGTGGAAGATTGCAGGGGTAGGGTGGACAAGAGCATGAAAGAATGAGGAAGCTGATCAGTTTGTGCGCGTGTGTGTGTGTGGGTGGGGGGTGGAGAGAGAGGAAGCTACCAGAGCCTAGAATGGAGATGAAAACAAGGAGTCGTGCAAGGCCAATGTTTGAGAATTCTAATCTTGAGAAGACAAAGGGGTGAACAGATCTCCAATAATTAGAAACAAAGTTGAGAGATATTCTGGAGGGGGAGAAATGTCAAAGATTTAGGGTTTCAAAGAGGGCTGAGAATCAATACAGTTTGTCAAGGTTGTGCACTGACTCAGGGGGATGGAAGGTGAAACTTAAGTCCTCGTGTGTTAATAAGTGATGTATTAATACTAGGCTATGTTTGGGCACGATGATGCCTCTATCAGCAGTTAACAAACACCAAATAGTTCTATGATTCTACTCAATGACCTGAGCAGCCAAC